CACACCTTTTAAGCATACCCAATATGGCGAGTTATAACCAGAGAGGTACAAAGTTGTATAATAAATAGATGTAGTCCACAAACACTCAGACGTGGAATATAAATATCGAAGTGTCTCTCAAACTTTAGACATTAACAAGCAATAGAGAAGAGACCTTAACAATATAATATAGTCTTTATGATTCAATTCTACTTTACCTATTTTACTTCACTCTTAGTAGTCATAAACAAAACGAGAGAAGTCCAAGCCTTCCTAGACAATCTCCATCTACAGAAACAAATTTTGGTTAGCCTAGATAACACTGAAGTTTATCAGGTTATCTCTACATAATAGTAGGCTTACAATAGTTGCCATAATATTAACAAACTATATGGAAGAAAAATAAAAGTGATAAAGCATACTTATCGAATATAGCCCTGGATCCTTCTTATATAGGCATGTTATCCAATCCTAACCCTACTGTAACTTATACATTCAAGTTCATATTATGGTCCTGGACAGTAAATATCAAAACACTTCTTTTCCAAGATAAACACTTCATGAAAAATGTTATTACCAACTACAACTATTATATAATGATTTTTTGAGTTGTATATTTGTTCATTTAGTGAATCTAAAGACATTTACAGAGCCATAAAGAAATCAATCAATATTTGAGTCTTGTAAATAATTGTAAAACTGGAAGAAGATTTTTCCTAATCCTAGGTCCAATACACATGTAAAAACAATTGTAAAATGTCTATATAAGTAATAGCTGATAAGTATATAGGGTTTAAGGCAATTTTCTGATATGGTATAAGAGGTGTTTAAGTTATTTGTACTAGCCAAAGACATAGTTTTAACACATAGTATATTATCACAATATTTCTATTGGTACTTTAAGGAAACCTATTAAAATACATCATAATAGAGAAGAGATTATATATATAAAGACAAAGAGCTTTCTGCTTCTATCAAAAAGTACCAGTCATGCAGAAGGATTTATTTTAATTCTAACCTGAAGTTAAATGAATCTAGAATTTTGTATATCTTCTTTATATTATTCATAATATCATAATATGCAAAGAAAATTTCAGTAATGTTTCAAGAATTCATAATTAAATTTTATTAATTGGAAAAAAAGGAAAAAGGAAAAAGTGAGTAATATCTGATGGATTAGTCAGCAATTCTCAATACACAAAGGGTTAATTTTTACTGTCCAGAACTATACTATATTCAATAACTCACAAGTATAAGTCATGTGAGATCCATCAGTTGACTCTTATAAGTCAACTGCATAATATGTCTAAACTAATCACAAATATCATAAGAAGTTATATGCACTAAGTGCATCACATGTATAAAGATGTCACAAACTGGATTGTAACAAGGTAGAATGTGGAGAAGGAATATAGTTTTCGTACAACTTATAACTATGAGTCATAAGTATTATTATTTACTTGTTACGACTCATAGGGATTATACTAGGACTGGTAATCTTACCCCCGGTTTTT